CTGACTTGCCTTCTAGGGACCGATTGCGACACAGTACGACATTGCTTACATCCCAGGAGGGCCATCGTACCATATCAACCAAATTTGTGACCGTGTGAGTCTTGGATCTCCGACTTATCTCCACGTCTTGCTCGTCCCCGACCGACGACGAAGGAAGCTAGGACTCGTCTTATGCCTAGCGCCCAGTGTGCTCGCCATTGGCACGGCCGCGCCTACACCGCGGTCTCGCACCTGCTTTCAACCGCGCCGCAGCATGCCGGTTTAGAAGAGGAATGTCTCGCAACTTCAACACTACCCCCCCCCCCCCCAATTCACCCGTTTCACCTTCTGTTACCGACTCGCCATCGACGGCCGCCACGACTTTGCCGCGCGAGTCTCTTGTCATCCGAGCAACTGTCCGAAGGAAGAAATCCGAGACCCCGTACTAACGCCATGACCCTATATCGAAGTGCGCAAAACACCCGAGTGGATTGAGCGCCGCTACAAGTATGTGCGGAGCAAGCGAGGACGAAAATGCCGACGCCTAAACGGAGCAGGTCGATCACGCTTCCCCTTGTTCAAAAAGGCGATTCCCATAATTGCGTGAGTTCTACCCTGTGCGGGTGCAACGGCTTGCGACGTCAATCCTTTCCGGGTGTCTATGGCCACGGGGTTTCAAGCCGCTTAAAACCCTCCCGTTGGCACAGCAATCCGTAAAAAAGTAAACACTGCAAGCCGTTTCAACCGCACTCGGTTGAACTCACGCAAGTGTGTGAGCCAGCCTTAAAGGGGTACTCCGCCGATTTCTTCATGGTCTCCGATTTGCTTGAAATTGTGCTAAACTCGCCAAACAACATCGCCAAAATAGTGTCCCAAATATTGGGTCAAAATAATTTTTTTTTTTCACGAAGTTATTGAATTTACAATTTTGGTCCTCTCCGTGTTTTTCAAACTGAAAGTCTCTACTGGCAACAGAGGAAAGAGTGACGTCATTGGAAGTGTAGGGGTTCACTCTTTGGACTGTAGAATTTGTTCCCAACTGATTCGAAGCAGTTTCATGGTGTCAAATGAATGCTTTGGAAGCTCGCTGCAGTCCCCGCGCTCCAGCACGGAACAAATGATTGGCATATTCTATTTTTTAGACTGCTCGCCCGACTGGCAAGCTGACCTTCCACTGGCGTCACGGCACTGAAAAGGGCGGGTATATTTGAATGTTGGTTTTTGCATCATTTTCATTTGCCGATTTCGCAATAACTATTATGAATTTCACAATACTAAATACACTCTTAAAAAAAGGGGTATGGATAGTCCTCCCTTAGGGGAGGAACGGTCTTGTAACCTATGTTCCTTTAGAAAGGAAGAAACTTTCGTCCCTGAAGCAAGGGAGCAAAGTTCCTCCGTCGCTTGCATCTCAATATGGCGGCCCCGAATCGAGCAAATCGAACCCAATAAGGCTTGACGACGACGCTACGTCTCTTGTACGGGATGAGAGCAGCAGCAAATAAAAGCGTAACACTAGCTTTCCGCAAACTGTGTTTATTTCCGAAGCCAGATTCCCCCCACAGGTACAGAAACTTGCGTTTCGAAAGCAGTTACTCAGTCTTTTCGTCGACAGCACTGCGATGTTAAACGGAGACAACCGATACCCAGTAACTTCGCGCACTTTACGTCTTACCTTTGATGTTCCTCGAGTCGCAATTCCTTCGTCAACCGCACATCACGGAGCAGGGCAAACTTAATCCGCGAAACGAAAAGCCGCCCTTGAAAGAACAAACACGAAGCCGCTGTTTATCGCGTAGCGTAAAAGGTTAAATCGCTAGCCACAAGATGGCGGGGTCAAGCAGAGTAAATGCAAGTAGCTATAGGCTAGGTGGCGCTACGTACCGCCCAATTCATTTTCTACAAAAAAAAATGCTTCTTTCAGGTCATTACTCCGCTTGAGGATCCTCTACTATACACACATTACGGTTATTACAACCATCAGGTGAACAGTCGTTGAGCACATACACGGCACACACACATATCAATACAACGGAACACCACACTAACCCGAACACTACTACCGTGGTCTGCGTTTCCGTCTTTTATACTGGTCGTTTTGAACGTACGGAGCTTTTCGGTGACTCCCTAAGCAATAAAAAATATTCCCAGCATGTTGATTTTTTCCCAGCAATGTCATCCTCTGAGAGTATTTTGAATAGCTCAGGGGATGAATCTCTTATTAAAAGCAAACGCTCGATCATGCAGTAATTACTTGAAAGCCAATAAATCGAGCCGCTCCAATGCGGTTCGAAGCCATGAGTTTTTTTCCCCACACGACACGTCGTAGCCTGTATTTCTAGAGGTTTTTCTATTTGTGCTGTCCGCGCAAAGCTGCAATTGCCGTCTTGAATTAATCTCTGTAGAGCGGATATTCACTCACTGAAAGTGAGGCTTCGCGGGCTGAGAAATCGCTTTTCGATCAACTTGAATGCAGTCAAAGCCGCGACTTGCGGGCAGGTACGGAGCTACGCCGTGGCAAGCCCGAAAACTTCTAGCGCTCATCCCAGCGCGCCACTTGGAAGGCAGTTCCTCCAGGAACCGTAGTATATTTAAACAGCAAAATAAAAAAGGGTAGCTTTTTTTTTTCGATTTTACCTACTATTGTTTTTTAATGCCGAAATTCCATACTGCAAATATACGTACTTTTCGTCACGATTTCGTACTGTTCAGTCCTTGCCCCAGAGCGCAATCACTCTCGGGGGCGAGACAATTCCGACAGTCACATTGGCCACTGCACGCTAGGAGCTTCTGCAGTTCAGACCAGCGTTCCAACATGACTATTCGCACGTTGATCGATTGCACGTAATCCCTCAAGTGGTATTAAACTTTTTAATATAAAGCGGAATGTCAACCTGCGACATCCCCGCTTCCTCCGATCAGGGCCCGACCAGCGGCATCAATGCCCAACAGTTTACGACCTCATCTTCTTGTTATACCACTGATACGCGAACACACGGGCACATCGGCGATAATTCCAGTCTTCTGTTCACAACCCACAACGCTGCCATCACGATGTTGCAGCTATGTTGCTGACATGCACAAACAGAGAACCACGTTGAACGCCGGTTGCACTCGGCATCGAAAAACAGAACCGAACTCAGCACGGAAGGCACCCAGGCAGCCGGCAGCAAAACCTGCCTGTCTTGGACGCAGTTCCTGCGGTTTCCATAACGTCGAAAACGTCGACACAGTTCCGCGTGGTTTCGCTACTGTAGTTCCGTGCCGCGTGAGTCCCGCAATCCGGAGACGGCCATCCTCACCCCCCCCCCCCTCCCCTCCCCTCCCCCCCCCCCCCCTTCCAGTGTACGTGGCGCTGCTGGCACTGCTCCGGAACTTCGCTGTTTCTAGCGGCTTCGTTTGCTCGTTTGATAAAACTAGTGATAAAAACGTCAATGCGACCGAAATGTTCTGCACGTTTAGACTAGAAGACGGAATTACAGGCGGCCTTCGCTGCAGCTGAAGCTCAATAAACTCAACAGCTATTTATTAAACAACGTGCGCGACCTGCTCGAAAAACGAAACCGAAAGAAGATGAGTCGGGAGGGCGAAAGCTTTCTCCCGTCTGCCTGGAGAAGGAGAAAAATGTTTCGTTCCTCCCCTTTTCTCGTGTCCGCTTGGGGCGCGTCAGTAGAAGGGAGGAAGACGCGCCGTTACTACTTTTTTTCTCCATTTTTTCTTAGAGTGTAGCACACCAGAAAGGGTAAAGGCCGGGGAGTCAGAAAATATAGTTAGTTGAGGTAGCTCAAAAATCGGTGGAGTGCCCCCTTAACACCACAGGCCGCCACACCGCTACGTGTTTCTGACCCCGCTCGTCCTGTCTCAAGTGACACCAAGCCCCACAGCCTTTATGTCAACAACCACCAATTGCCCCGACATGTACAACAAAGACGCAGCAGCAGGGCTACGTCTTTGTTCCATGGCACAGCGCTCTCGGACTTGTCTTAATCAGACCACCCAGATTCTGAAACCGACGAAATACAAAAATTTGGAATCCTATCCTGTTAGGTCTACATCACTCAGCCTGTGACGCAAAAGACGCGCCGTACTTCAGAATTGGTAATTCCACCAACACCACCTTCGTTACGAAACATAACGCACGCTTACCAGCTTCTCACCATGTAAACCCGCAGTGCCCATGACAGGGCAGTGGACCTTGTGGCTCACAAAGCCATGACCGGCGGCACTATCCGTGGCGTTGCGCACGGCAACAACCTAGAAGACACCTCTTAAACGTTGCTGCGGGCATTTAGGAGTAACTCACAAAAATAATTAACACCAGGCCGCTCGGTAAGAACACCTTATCCTTGTTAACGTTTCAAGGACATCAACCCTCGATAACTATCCTTTAGTACGACTTATTCATCAACGTTACGTCCTACTCTCCCATATTCGTGTTTTGTCGGCGTTGCCACGGCCTGGGCCACACAAAACATCTCTGCACTCGAGCGCCAAGTTGCTCAGACGGCGGCTTTATTGTCAACAATGGCCACGTCTGTAAACGCACGTACTTCGCTAACTAACGCGCTACTACGCACCTAGCCACCAACCCCAAGTGACCGGTCAAGCGTAAGGTTGACATGCAGCTTCAAGGGTGCACTCGAGGGGCAGCACGAACTACCACCGCAGAAATCGGCACACCTCGCGTAGGCCCCCGCGCAGGGAACAGGGCCCAAAGTGCCACCGTCTGCACATCAAGATTCGAAGCAGGCCCCTAACTCAAGTGTCCAAAACAGCTGTCGGTGGCAAGCTACCCACCGGTTTTCAGCCTTAAAACTTCCCGACCGACTATACGACACCGCGCCCTCGCATTGCAGAAGTCGAATTCACAGCCGCCAAAAACTACCACTGCGGCAACATCAGCCCAGTTGCTCTACAAGCCGTCAACGCGGTCTGCTGCCGGCACACCGTGGCGCTAGGCGTCGATCAAAACCCATGACACCAAACCCATCACCAAACTCATGACATATTCGCAGACCACGATGAACATGCTCAAAATCGGCTATTTCACAGATGCAGCTCTGAAGCCCAAGCCTGGAGAAAAGAACTCCGATTCATCTTCGAAGCCGAAAAACAGCACCATTAACATGTTTTTGAACTCAAGGAGGAGGCCAAAAAGTTTGGAGTACGCGAAGTACGACTCAAACAAATACTCGAGACGGAAGCTAGAGAATGTGAGCTTTGCAAAGCAGAGCTCATGAGGCGGCTTCACAAACACGCCGAAGTAGCTGCAGCCCGACGGCAGAAATAACAGATTGCTCCATTTCAGTGGACTGCCCAGCAAGAGCAGCGTTCCCAGCAGCAGCAGCAACAGCATCCTGAGGAGAAATTCTCAACAGCAGCAGCAGCTCCAGCAAGAACAACATCCCTAGACACAGGAGTAGCGTCGCCAAAGCAGCAGCATCCCCAACAGCAGCAGCTACAGCCTAAACAACAGCAGGAGACCCAGCTCCTAAAGCTGCACATACCACCGACTAGTTCTTTAAAAGCCACAATATGTAACCCTAAATAATCTGCTGGCCCTCTTTTCTCAGCAGCAGCAGCAACAGCAGTATCAACAGCAGTAGCAGAAGCAGTAGCAAAAAAAGCAGCAACAAGCGCAGCTACAGCCGCAGTTACAACAACCGCAGCACCCCGTGTCTCTTGTACTTACGGACTGTACAGCAGCACTTCCCACGCAGGTGCTACCGCCACTCCCATTACCACATCAAATCGGCACCCTCAGTTAATAAACCCGCTCTCAAGATCTTGCATTGTAACCGTCGTGGCCTTGTGAAACGGAGAAGTGAGATCCTCGCGCGTCCTTCCGACCCTCAATAGGCTTTCGGCGTACTTCTGCTGAAGGAAACGCGCACAGACACTGGGAAACTCTCAGGCTACGACTGACACCACAACAGCACTATTGAGCACTAACTCCCAAAGAAACGGAATCAAAATCCTCTAAAACCTGAGACTATTTTTTGCGCGTAAACCGGCGTCCACGTCTGCTGCCATATGCCCCACGCCAAGCTGGACACGGCGACATGATATACCCCCAACCAGAAACTCACCGTGGTGCGCATCACTCACGACGCGACTGAGCGAAGGCTTCTCGTAGTCTCGGCATACTGCCGCCCCTACACTGGCAAGACGACGACGTGCGATTTTTCCTGGCTGAAAACCTTGCGCGACGCAAACACCCCCCCCCCCCCCCCCCCCGACTACGCAATCTTCGGAGGAGATCTGAACCCACATTACGAGGTATAGATGCTCCTGCTCCATTACACAGCGCGGGCATGACCGCAGCGCAGCGGTTCAGGCTACCGACCAGGCAATCGTGAATGACCTCGACAGTCCAACGCTCTTCGGTGCGAGTTCCCCACAACGAGATAGCATATTTGACCTCACCCTAGCGTCTCGTCAAACTGCCAGCCTCCTTGCTGGGACAGTCCTCGATGAAGATGCCTGGGGCAGCGATCACTTTTCTATTGTCGTAAAGCTCCCCATAGGCAAACGGAAGTGCACCATGCTCCACCAAAACGTTCATCTGGGAGTGATATCGAGAGACATCGTGGGTAATATTGCCGCGAGCGTAGCTGGCCTAATAGGCAGCGCGGCCGTGGCCTAACCGTTATCGCGCTTGCCTTTCACGCATAAAGCCAGGGTTCGATTCCTGGCCGCGGCTACACATTTTTGTTGACACTAGAATGTGATGTTCTGGTAAATTCGAGAACCGTCTTGGGGGTCGATTCGAGGTTAGAATGTTCTACGCGCCGAACCTTCTAGGCCAACTGTTCCAGAAACCAACGCGTGAGTCCTGGGTCAGTTTCGCCCCAGCGTTCGACTCTGCTGCTACGCCGACCTCGACGCCCGCGACGCTCTGTTAATATCTCTTGTACCCTTTAGTTTTGGCACAAGTTCGCCACTTTAAACGTTTATTTCTTCCTGTTTATTTTTTTTTTTTTTGGTCACCACCCGTGACAATATCGCTATATTGGATGCCTATGCCGTCTGCACTCTCCTGTTGACAGCTGCGACTTCTGCAACGGAAATGCGTGAGGTGTGCGAGTGTACACCCACTCCAGATACGCATCTGTGACTCGGCGTACTACGGCGGTTACTAAATATCGAAGCGCTAAACGCCAATGTTACCTCCGCAGAGTCACTCGTCTTAAACTAGGAGCTGACAAGTATGCCAGTACCCTAAAGCTCGAGCGTTGGATCGCACATTCCCAGTTCTTTTTTTGTTTTTTTACAAGAAGATTTAGCCGAGTACAGTATGAAGCACTTCCAAAACAATGTATGGCAAGCGCGACCAGAATCACACCGTTACTGTCATAGCGCTTCTCTAGGACGAGAACTCCGAAGACATCCTCAATCAGCTCGGGGCATCTTCTCCCTGCCGAACGAACTCCCGCCACCCAACGTATGTTGGCCCAACTACAACGACATGAATAACCTCCGGCATCCTGGCAGCCAACCTTTCATCGAATGGGAGCTTGATGCGGTCATTTCCTAATGTCGCCTCCTAAGCGAGGCCGACCCCAACGGGATCATCGCGCCGATGCTGTGCAATGCGCCCCGTGTCGCCCGGGAAGCCATACTCCCTTGGTTTAACTGCATCTGACGCACAGTTCTGCCCCCTGGTGACTGGAAGACCTCCAGAGTGACACCGATTCTCAAGCCGGGCAAGCTGCCGACATACTTGAAAAACGTGCGGCCCATATCGCTTACATCCATCATGAGCAAGCTCATGGAGTGCAAGGTCCTCGCTCGCATGCAGTTGCAGGCAGAACCACTCAAATTATTTCACCCCACACAAACGGGTTTTTGCATAAATTTCTGTTCGCATGACAGCCTCGCAATGATTTACAAAGATGTCACCGACCGTTACGTCAATAGCACACAGCTCCGGGTCCTTGTCACGGTGAACATTCGAACAGCATTTGACTGTGTTCTCCACGTATCGATCGTCTCCGCCATGATTTTGTGCGCTCCTTTCTTAAAGGTTCCCTGAGGAGGCTTCTGAGATGCCCTAAATATGGCGATTACTCACTTTGCTGGCTCTAAACATTTTAGAAATCTCGAAATCCCTAGAGAACGAGGATCATTCGCTCGCTATTGACTGAGAGCAGTCCTCGTTTCGGACCATACTCCCATCGCCAGAGGTGACCTCGCTGTGTTTGATTTCCATTTTTTTTTTATATTGATATCGGCCGCGCAATGGTACGATTAAGGAATCTGTATGATGCTTAGAGTCCGCAGAAATAGTTGTCGCCGTATTTGCGTAATCTCGCAAACTTCCTCAGCGCACGTTTAATGACCGCCAGGACGTAATGAAGTCAGGAGATGGCGACCAGGTGGTGGTTAGTAGGATAAGGTGTGGCAAATAAAAAAAAAATCAACGGTAAGTTTTATTTTTGTATTAATATTAAAAAAAAATAAAAAAAATGAGTATGGGGATATCTTTAGATGTCTTGACCTTTACGCTCCGTAAATAATACTCTATCTCATTTGGCCCCACCTTTGGGGCAAAATGAAATCAGACAACACGAGAGATTCTCTAGGCTTGTCAAATTAAAAAAAAAAAAAAGAAAACCAGGACAGCATTACGTCAGCCATAGTTCTCTTTCGTTCAATGCCAAGTTGTGTCATTCGATCTTAGCCAACGCCTACGGAAAGTGAATTTGGCCGGCCGAAAATGAAAAGGGGACTTATTCACCTTTTATGTTTGGTCTATTTTTCTTGGTATTCTCCTTTTTGCTTCACGGGTGTGCTTTACGGTATCTTCCCTCTCATTCTTTCCTGAAATTATTCCAATCTCTTTATATTTTCTTCTCATTCTCTTTTCTTTTCTTTTCAACTATCACGTGGGGTCTATTTCTATGGCGTTTTTTTCCTCATCTTTCCAAATACATCAGATGGGAGTCAACACTCTTTTATTCTGCCTGTTCGTTTCTCTTCCTTCATGTCCTGCACGCTATTCTATCATGTTGAGCAAGAATATTACATTTGTCGTAGCAATGTGGGGCTCGCCGCCTGTCTGAACCCTGGGGCCGGGTAGAGCAGAGTCACAATTGACATTGAGAGAATGTCTGATGAGAAGAATACCACCACCGACGGACCCCTGCTCGGATGCCACTCCCAGGCCAAAAACAAGTTGGGGACTCCTGCTGGAAAAACAGGTGCGTGTGCTGGAGATGTACAGCCTGTTGCACGAGCATGTGGATCTGGGGTAGTGGCCGAAGTCCTCGAGCTGTCCGCGGGAGGTTACGCAAAAAAAAAATAAACCCAGGCTGCGGGACGCCCTGTTCGCCAAGATAGTGGCCCCGAGGGACGTCCACTGGCTGCTCTGTTGTACCATCCCCGTGGAGCACCCTCGAGACTAATGCCGAGAAAATTAAAAACGCCAAGCAGTCTTCGACAGGGACGAGAGCAAGTAGCACGACATAGAGAGAATCACGCGCTTTGTCAAAGTGTTGACTCTAACACTGTCTCATTCTCCGCCTTGCTCCTGCTGTCCTGTTTGCTGGCATCGGCCAAGATATTAGCCAGATTAGAGGTAGTCGATGGCGCAAGCTTGAAAACTAAAAACGATCAGCGCTTTTAATGATGCTCGGTTGGAGAGGGACTCCGGTCGAAAAGCAGGCAGATATTTTGACATTGTTACTTTTTCCCTTAATTTTATATCTGTATTTATTTGGAAACGAATATGCCTGCTTCGATGTGCGTTTTCTTTCCTCATCCACGGTAGTCGTGGAGTTAGCTGGAAGAGATTTAAGTTAAGCGGGGCTATTGATGATGATCCGTTGTTGGGAGAGCCGGTGGGAAGGCAGACATATATTTTGTTATTCTCACTTTTACCTAATTTTTAGATGTCTTGGGACCCTGTAAATGGCCACACGAACTTAATGGTTTTTGTGATGCTTTGCACCTCACAAAGGAGATTTGGTAGTGCTTCGAAGTATAACTAATTTGTTATTATTTTTTGTTTGTTAGCGCAAGTTATATTTGGCGGTCGGGGCGGTGAATTTTTTGCAGTGTTGTTAAAAACTTGTAGAATATTGTGATATTCCGTGGCAGAGCTTGTGTATTATGTCTGCAGTCATGAAGAGTAGCTACTGAGTTTCTGGAAGACAAAAAACATTAGAAGGTGAAAAAGACGTCGGGATTTCGGACGCCGAACTTCGGCGACAATGTGGATCGCGCGCCAATGCCAACCGAGGCGCCAAAGCACGGGGCATGAGCGAGTGGCTGGGCGAACAGGACAGTTCAGCCATGCACTCTCACGAAGAGAGGGTATATTCTTACACCCCTTGTCCCATATACGACACCCCAAATTTTCATTGCGACGTGCAACGCGCTGACGTTAAACAGACGGCCTAAACTTTTACGAGGTGCCTGAGGGTAGTGAGATGTACCTCAATAAACAGCTAAAGTTCAAAGGCTACAGAAGAAAAAAAAAAAGCGATTTTGCACTAATACCAAGAAAGCCTCGATTACTTTTTTTCTGCTCAATAATACGTACATTAG